AGAAACTGGGAAGCCCCACTGGGCAAAGAAACCAACCCTTATTAAGAGAAACAAAGGGAGGGTCTCAGACTGTACTGGACAGACTATAGACCTCACCTTTGTCTCTCCCAAAGGTTGATTCCTTTGCCCAGAAAGGCCTCCCAGCCTCGTTCCCACACTGGAATGTTCCCAGAGACAGTGTGTCCCACCACAAGTATGTTTTCCTCTGTGTATTATGTGCTGTTTTTTTTTTCTTTTCCCCATCCAGGAGGTGAGGGGTCCACAGGTGTTACACATTGCACACCTTTTCCTGGAATACATCAATCAGTTCTGCTTACTTTTCTTTTCCTCCCTCATACACACCCATATAGGAAAGTGTAGGAATTTTTGGGATCTGTCAGGTAAGGGTGGAGTGGTGAAGAGGAAAGAGATGTTGTAGGGGAGGGGAAAGGTAGGGAGTTAGAGGCAAGCAGACCTCCAGCTGCTCACGCACCCCTTTCCAGACTCAGGGGAAAAGGGAACTCATTCTTCCTTCTCATCTTCTTCCCAGTCTTGTTTCTTAACAAGCAGAAGCATCTCAGGGAAACAATCTCATTGGGAGCTCAAGAGGAACAAATGGACTTTAGGCCAAGGGTTTCAAACTCTACAGAAGTAGAGTTTGTTCCAGATGTCCTATACCTGGAATTTCTAATATTGATGCTGTCATCAAGGGCCCACACCTGGGCAAGCACAGGAATGATCATGGGTCTCTTCCTTTTTTCATCCCTTCCTCTTGTGCACCAGGTTTTTTGTTGTTGCTTTTCCCAACCAAACCAACAAGGATTTAATACTTGTGGCTAGAATTAGTCTTTGAAGAGAATTGCTTGAGAGTCAAGGTTGGCCCATGAGTGGGGTTCTGCATTGCACATGACCAAGGACAAAAAGAGAGAAACAAGAAATGAATTCCTGATCTTGGAAGGATGTTAAAGATTACATCTTCCTAACCCCTTGTGCTACAGGAGGGAACACAGAGACCCAGAGAGGTCAAGTGATTTGCCCAAGGTAAAGAAGCAAATTAGTGGCAGGGCTGAGTCTAGACCCCAGATTTCCTAATTCCTAGATCTGAGCTCGTTCCACTACACCATGGTGTGTCCCACCCCATTCCTTTTCTAGGATCTCTCCTTCACTAGGGAGCCAATGGTCTGTGGGCACTTAAGCCAAGGTACCATCTAAATTTAATCTGAATTCTGTATCTTGGCCATGGATAGGAGGCAATCTAGGATTAGTGAACAAGGTCAGCCCAACAACCACAGTTAGTAGACTATGGAGCTTTGAGCACCAGAGGACTTGGGTTCAAATTCCATCTCTGATACTACCTATATGATGTTGGGCAAGTCACTCTATTTCCTTGGCCTCAGTTTCCTCATCTGTAAAGTCAAGTCAACAAACATTTATTAAGTGCCTGTTACATGTTTGGCACTGGGCTAAACTCTGTACAATGAGAGGTTCCAGTTCTAGCTTTATGATCTTTTAATCCTTGTGATCCAGGTTCTCTTGCTGGAGCAGATGAACTCAGATAAGACTTCAGAGTTTAGAAAGGGTGTTCCCAGATTGCCTCTTATCTCTGGTCAGGGTGCAGAGTTTTGTTTTGTTTGGGACTCCCAAGATCTTTCCCAAACCTAACAATTTCTTAATGTCTCTCCTTGCTTTGCATGTGGAGCTGGCCAGGATTGCGGGATATGTGTCTGTGTATCTCCTTCCCTTGGGCATCTTAAATGCCCCAGCTGTGCATGGTACCTCTTCATTGGTGTCTCTCCCATTAGTTTGCTGGCATATGAGGACTCTGTGATGATAAGGTGTTCTTCAGAGAGCTCCTGACATAGTAAATGTCGGAGATTCTGCCCCATTAAGCTTAGGGTGTGTTTGAGAGCTTCAGATATGACAAGAGTAATGGATGAAATGACCCAGAGAAATGTCAGACCCACCCCAGGATTCTAGAATCTCCCATCGCATCTGCTCCAAGGTAGCCATCTTATGTCAGAAGGCAGAAAGATATAGTAAAAAGAGACTGGATTTAGAGTCAGAGGACATGACCCTGCTTCTTACTACCTGTGTGATCTTAGGCATAAACAGAGGGAAAAATGGAGGGCATTCCCAAGCTGGTGAGGCTGGAATGCATGGGTAATGTTCCAAGAACAATGCCTATCTGACCTAGATAGTTGAAGGAAAGCATTGGCATAGGGAAGTAGTAGGAGATAACATTGGAGAGAGGGGTACACAGGAGCCAGCTTACGAAGGGTCTTAGATAGCAAGATAGGGAGTCTAGAGTAGCTCCTCATTAATCCTAACATGCCAGGCGGGGAATCATGAAGATATGGGTTCAAATCCTCAAATTCTTCTGATACCTTCTAACTGTGTATCCAGAGACAAGTCACCTAGCCTCTCTGGGACTCAGTTTGCTCATCTGTAAAATTAGGGGGCTGGACTAGATGACTGCTAGGTCCAGCTCTGGATTCTATGATCCAATTACCTTTGATAGCCAAAGACTGTAGAGTGCAAAGGTCAGAGCAAGAAGGAACCTTTAGAAAGCATTGAGCCCAATTCCCTCATTTTACAGATGAAGAAACAGGCCCACAGAGGGGAATGCATTAGTAGTAGAACTAGTTCTAGAACCCAGGTCTTCTGACTCCCAGGTTTCTACTCAGCCACTCCATTTGTTCTCTATTCCAAACCCTGCTCTGAAAGCCACACTGGAGTTGGGGTAGTATGAAGCAGGGCTCTGCCTCCACAATTCTGGGCTTTGGACTCCCTGCCTGGGGTAATCAGCTTTCTAAAGCAGAGGGAGGCTGCTTCCATGACAACCATATTTGAAGCACCAGGCCAGCCCCCTGCCATGCATGGTAGGGAGATGGGAGGCACAGAAATGTGCTAATCAGGCAGCCTGGTCTCTTTGATTGTCTGCTACTCTCAGGAATACTGGGACCTGGAGCTATGAATTACATTAAAATAAGCAGTCCAGCCCTTACTGCTGAGGGCTAGAAAAGTGGAGGGGGACCTTAGGGGGTCTGGCAGACATTTCAACCTTTACCTTACAGCTCCTGTTTAATGCTGCACCTTCATTCCCAGTGTGCTTCCTAAATTTGGAGTCATGAAGCCCCAGTTAGGATCATGGCTCAAATGTTTAGCAGCTGTGTGATGCTAAGTTGCCGCTTAACCTCTCTGAAACTTGGTTTCCCCACCTATAAAACATGGATAACAGCACCTGCTTCCACACAGGGTTGTGACAAGGAAAGCCCTTCTTTGGACTTTAAAATGCTACATAAATATGAACTGTTATGCCCATTCATCCATATAGCTTTGCTACAAGGCCGTCATGATAACGGACATTTACATAGCCCCTTAAAGTTTGCAATTTCTTCATATATGTAGTGAAGCTGATAAGGGGAATCACCTGATCATCTGAATAGAGGCCGCCCTGGAAGCTGGGCATGGACACTCTGCCTCTTTGGGGATGGACGTGCTCTAGCTGAGAGATGAAGAACCCGCTCTTTGGAGTAATGCAATATCCCTCATTGGTTCAGGTGACTGGCAAAGCTATGTCAAAGATGACTGGTGTTTGAGTTAAGAAGAGGCAGCTTACTCAGTAGGCTATGCAAGGAGAGAAAAAAGGCTCTTTCTCCCCCCCCTTCCTTCTTTTCTCCCTCTCTCCCTTCTCTCCTTCTTTTGGGGATGTTGCTTAGCATTCTGTCAGCTCTGCCTTGGACTTCCAGGGAGTAGGAAGGAGATTTCTCTCCCCTGTGCCCCCAAAGAGGCTGCGGTGGTTATGAATATATGGCAGTGAGAACCTGTGAGTGCTTAGGTTGGCCTGAAATTGGACTTCAAGCCCTTGGCTGCCTCTTCTGTCTTGTGTTTTTTCCCCAATCCCAAGTCATGAGAAATGGATATTTTATCCCCTACCAGTGACCCCATGAATCTGAGAGCATGGGAATTCCCCAGTCACTGGGTACTTCCTGAAATTATACCACTTCTCAAAGGAAGAGATGATCATTACCAGTTGGATGCTATATTTGAAAGTTCTATGATATCCCAAGATGGCTGGTTGGGAGTTCTGGACCTTAGAAGAGAAATATCTGTTCCATGGTCTCACAAAGTTCTTCTGAATCTTCTGGGAGAGCATGATGGGTGATGGATTATATTGTTTATGTTTTAAGTATGTGTTAATATGTACTTTTGTGTTCTAAGCATTTCTTTCGTGGTGGAGAAAATAAATAGCTGTTTTCTACTTGATGTCTTCTTTGTACATTGAGTGTTTTTTCTAGTGGGACCTTGTTAATCCCTTTTGGGAGGGACCCTAGACATGAGCCACATGTAAACTCCTTTGTAGGGTTTTTCTCCAGAACTTTAGGATGAGGGTATAATGAGCCAGAGAATTTCAATCTTCAAAGTCTGATCCTTTCTTTGGCATCTGATTCCCTCAGGATTAAACCAAGTCCACATGAGTCCAGAAACTGGATCCATTTGTGGGCCCATCCCAGACCATGGATAATTCATATATTATTTCATTTGAGCCTCACACTATCTCTTCAGGATAGGTACTAGAGATACTATTATCCTCATTTTATAGGTGAGGAAATGGAAACTAAGAGGTTACTTTCCCGTAGCCACAAGCCACAAGCCAGTAAGGGTTAAAAGTAGGATTTCAAACTAGGTTTTCCTGACTGTAGGTCCACTAGCCCACAGAGGAGTAATCCCTTTCCTAAGGTCATGTATCAAGACTCCAAGTCAAGTCCCACTTCTTCCAGGAAGTCAGCCCTGATTATTCTAGCCAGCATGGAACTCTCTGATACTATTAATCCATATCACATATTGTCTCTATTATTCATCTGAAAATTTAATCATATTATGTTTAATACTTTATTATATGCTATCTTGTCTTATTCTCTAAATGTTTTGTGCATGTCTCTACAAGGCAGTGACTGCACCTTCCCTTCTTTCTGTAGTTCCCCCCACCTCTCTCCCACCAGAGTAGCTGAGCACAGATCTAGACACATGGTAAGTGTTTATTAAATGCTTGCTGAAGTGATTTTACACAGGGTTCCTTGGTGTCTGACCACCGAGAGGCTTGCCTTCAAACTGCGCCATGCCTGTGCCCTTGCCTGGAGCCCAGAGCAACTGGGGGCTGCTCAGCTCCAGGGATACCACAGGACTAGTCAGTGGTGAGTCCTCTAGGGAGGTCTGTGAATCTGTCTCTTCTGATGAGAAACTACCATGTCGGGAGAACTGAAAGCGGGACCCTCGTCCTGGCCTCTTTCTGGTGAGGCCTTTCCATAGGGTGGGGGACTTGGAAGAGGCGGGCAGAGCAGGTAGCCATGTAGGAGGCTGCAGATTCTCTGGGGCTGCCTTGTTAAGATCTACAGTCAGGTCAGCTTGGGGACTTCGCTCTGGGTCTGTAATTCTAGGAGCTGGGTTGGAAACCCCCATTTTCTGTTGATTATCTCTGTCATCGCCTTCTTCCTTAGACTGGTCAGAGGAGTTGTTTTTCTTTATGCCATCTTGGCCTACAGAGTTTGAATTCATACCTGTGCCCAACCTTCCCCCAGAAACACACTGTCCTTTCCATCTTTGGATTCCAGTGAATGTTTTCCCAGGTTCCAGAATGGCTATGGAGTCTCCCTCCAGGGATCTGGGGGCTAAGTTCACTGAAATATCTTTTCCCTTACTAGGGCCCAGCTCAGTCTCTAGTTTCCCCTGGCACCGGGTCAGAGCCTCCTGAAGAATAACATAACTCTCATGCCGCCTCAGCCGAGCTTCCTCCCAAAGGCCCAGGCCAGGGCCTCGACTCAGAGAAGATGCCTGCAACCACATCTCCCATAGTTTCTCGGCAGGAAACTCTACCGCAAGCCTCTGCAGGTAGCTCTCCAGGTGGTGCTGTGCATCTGGGCTGGCCTTACAGCCCTTACCCAACTTTAGGTCAGCCACCAAATCCTGACAGTCCAGGTTGAACCAGGTCATCTGGGAAAAGGAGAGGGGGATTAGCATAAATACATAAGACCAAGAGCCATTTCCTAATGGGTAAATGTCTACAGATATGAACAAACAGGCCCCAAAAGAAGAATTACAAACTATTAACAGCTATTTAAAAGGTCGTTCCAAACAATTAATAATAAGAGAAATGCAAATGGAAACAGCTTAGAGCAAATTGGCAAAGGTGACAAAAGATAGAAATCATCAATGTTAGGAGGACTATACAAAGATAGGCAGGCACACAGATACATTGTTGGTGGAGCTGTGAATTAGTCCAACCATTTTGGAAAGCGATTTGTAATTATGCTTTAAATAGTGACTAAAATGTCCATCCTTTTTGATGCAAAGATCCTACTGTTAGTTGGGCATGTACCCAACAAGCCCAAAGATAGAGTTTGCAGGCCTTCTTTGCAGAGATCAGGGACTATTGGTATAGAGTACTGCATTTATTGTCAGACATGGTTGATGTATTGGTTTGTTTTGTGCAATTGCTTTTTTCCCCTTTCTTTTTAAATCTTTGTTACAAAGAATGGCTCACTGGGTAGCTGGGAGAAGGGGATATATCCAGAAGTATAGGTGATGTAAAAACTAAAGATATCAATAAAATAAAATGGAAAAAAGAGAAAGGGTGGGAATGAACTCTGACTAAAATCAATGAGGCCCCAGGGCTGGGAAGACATATACCAATAATTGGGCCAAGGATCATAGCATCTGAAACTACAAGAGAATTTAGAGATCATCTAATCCAGCAGCCCCCCCCCCCCCCCCACAGAGGAGGAACTAGGGTTCAAAATAGCTGTGTGACTTGGGTAAGGTCATGCAGGTAGAAAGAAGCACAGTGTGAATTCAAACACAGGCCCTGTAACTCCAAATTTAGTACAATATCAATGGTGTACTAGAAGAATAATGACAACGGGCATTTCAATAGCATTTCTTTCTGTTAAAAAGTGCTTAATATCTATAATTTTGCTTGAACCTCACCACACTCTGATGAAGCAGCTATATGAGAGTTATTGTTTCCGTTTAATGGATGAGAGAACTGAGGTTCAGCTCAGAAGTGATTGTTCAAAGTAGCAAAGCTAAAGAGTGGTGGAAGTGGGGCTCCACCCAGGTGTTCTGACTCCTTAGCACAGCGCTCCAACCGGATGACTGCAGAGGAATCTTCTAATTCTAGATCTCTGATCTTAAAATTGTTTTTGTTCAGTTGTATCTGACTCTTTGTGATCCTATTTGGGTTTTCTTGGCAAAGATCCTGGAGTGGTTTGCCATTTCCTTCTTCAGCTCATTTTCCAGATGAGGAAACTGAGGCAAATAGGGTTAAGTAGCTTACTTAGGGTTATATAGCTAGTAAGTGTCTGAGGCCAGATTTGAATTCAGGAAGATGAGTCTTCCTGTCTTTGGGCCCTGTGCTCTATTCACTTTGCTACCTAGCTGCCCAATGATCCTATAAAATGCTTAAAGACAACTATCTTTTTTTTTTTTCTTTTTGGTGAGGCAAACGGGGTTAAGTGACTTGCCCAGGGTCACACAGCTAGTAAGTGTCAAGTGTCTGAGACCGATTTGAAACTCAGGTCCTCCTGACTCTAAGCCTGGAGCTCTATCCACTGCGCCATCTACCTGCCCCCACAGCTATCCTTTCTCCATCATACCCTACCCCGCCCCACACTCCTGGGGCTCCTCTTCTCTAGAGTAAACATCTTCTCATATAGCATAGACTTGAGGCCTTCTACCATCCTGGCCGTCTTCTTACTAGACTCTCTGAAGTCTATCAACGTTCTTCCTAAAATGTGGTGCCTGGAACAGACCCAACTCTCCAGGCATGTGTTGACAACCATCACCTTCCTATTTTGGGAATCTCTCCTCTTCTTGAAGCCCAAGCTCAGATTAACCTTTTTGGCAGCCATATCTCAATGCTGACACATGTGAAACTAGTAGTTCATTATAAAACCTCCAAATTTTTTTCAGACAAAATGTTGTTAAGGAGCAGTTAGCTCCTTCTCCTTCTCTGGCAGTTTATTGAACCCAAATGTGAGATGTTGCATTTATCTCTATTACATTTCACCTTATTTGATTCAGCCCAACCAATGTTCTAGCTTGTCAAGATCTTTTTGGATGCTTCCTCTGTCATTCATTGTGTGAACTGTCCCTCCCAGCTTGGCATCACCTGAGAATTTTGTAAGGACACCATTTATAACTTTTGAAAAAGGTTAAGTAGCATAAGGTCAAGCCCACTGGAAACCTCCTTCCAAGCTGACATTGAACCATTAATGGCCCACTCTGGGTCTGGCCATTCAACCAACTCTAAATCCATCTAAGTGTAATATTGTCTAACCTACATCTCTGCATGTTTTAGAAAAGATAAAGATGAGAGGCTTTATCAAAGGCTTAGTGAAAATCTAGGCTAATATGTGACATTCTTATGATCTGCCAGTTTAGTAACCCTATAAAGAAGGAAATAAAAGGAAATAAAGTTAACCTGATATGAACTGGCCTTAATTCAACAAGCATTTATTAGGCATATTCTGTGTGCCAAGTACTATGTTAGATGCTAGAGGCATAAAGAAAAAAAGTCCAAACAAAGCAAAATAACTAGTCCCTCCCCTCAAGGAACTTATATTCTATTGGTGGCATACAATATGTATATAGGTAAGTGTGTGTGTATGCATACATATATACACATATATGTACACACCCACACATATACATATATACATGCATATATATACATATATATACATATACATATATATATGTATATATATATTGAACACAACTTGACTTCTTGGAAGAGGCAGGAGTGAAAGTACTAATATGAAACCATCACTGTTTCCTTTTCTAGAAGTTCACTCGCCATCCCTCTACTACTGTAGTCTAACATTCTGCCAGGAATAGAAGTCAAGCTCACTAGACTAGAATATGCAAACTCTACTTTCCCCATCCCCCTTAAAAAAATCTGGTCAGCGTCCTCTCTGTCCAGATCTTCATCTTTCATTTTCCATAACCATCCAGACGTCAGTGACGATGGCTCAGCAATCACACCTGCTAATTCTTTTAGGTGACTTGAAGTCATCAAGGGCATCTCTTCCTACAGTATTTCTTTACTTATCTTAGGTATTAAAATACTATTAGCCATTTTTGTTCCATCTTTCCCAGGCTAAAGGTCATTCTCCTTGACCAAATAAGAACTGAGCAGCTCTAACTTTGAGCTGTTGCTGGTTATCACTGCCTCGTCCACCCCAAGCAGTGGTCACATCTCTTTGTTTCTCTTCTTTTCTTCAGTCTGCAAACAATGACCCACTACTTTCTTGTCCTTAGTTTTTCTCACCATCCTTAGCTCATTTTGAGATTTAGAACTTCTGATATCATTTGTATAGTACATGCTATTCTTTTATTTAATAACAGCACCTTTTTCCCATGATTGTTGTGGATAAGAGATAATTGGGTGCCTTGAAAACCTTAAAATACTATATAACACTACATAAATACTAGCTGTTATTATTATTAATTCTTTCCATATTCTGTAATCTGCCCTGGCTTTCATCTATATAATATGATACTATTTAAATGCTAGATGTCATTATTATTAATTATTTTCATTTTCTGTTATCTGCCCTGGTTTTCATCTATATAATATAATACTATATAAATGCTAGCTGTTATTATTATTATTTCCATATTCTGTTATCTGCCCTGGCTTCCATCTTTTTGTACATATATTTAAAAATCTAAATTGGTTAATACATGTAATCCATGACTACCCCTAAATATGTATTCACACAAATAGTTATGTGTTAGATTATGTGTTAGACTAGATAGTTATGTGTTCCTCAGTTTGCACAGCTGGATTTTTAAGCCCAAATGAAAGACTTTACATTTATTCCTATGAAATTTCATGTATAATTGTAGTGACTATGACTAAAAAGAGTCATTCCTTGGTGGACCATGCTTTGATTATGAGCCCTTTGTTACTGAGCTAGGTTGGTTCTCAGAAGATGGACTCATGGTTTGTCATTGGGTCATTCCCTGAATTGCCTGAGCTTGTGCTCCACAGGCTAGTTTTTGAGGGTCAACACTTCGTGATGTGGTGGTGGGAGGTAGGCCTCGGAGAAGGACATCAGTGGAGGCCTGCTTTATACAAGAATTATCAAACTTCTAGAATTGTGATTTCTGCCATCTGGCCCTAAATTCTTTTTCTGCCCTTATCTCCCAAGTCTCCTCATGCTGCCAGCCTCCTGAAAATCTTCCAAACACAGCCTCATGCATTCCTCTTTGGCGTTTTGTTCCCATGCCTGGAATGTACTCTCCTCTGCTATCTTATCTACCCATCATTCCTCTTTCTCCTTGTACACCATCTCCCTGTCGCTTTAACCAAACAAGGCTATTTAGTGTTCTCCAAACATTCTTCTCACATTCCTACTTCTAGTCTAAGGTTCACACTGTTCTCTACCTGGAATACACACATCTTCCAGTTCACCCCCTCTCCCAGGTTCTCAGGAATTCCTGAGCACGATCTTTCCTCATTGAATCCTTATCCACCCTTTAATACTCCCTTCAAATGCTACCTCCTCTTAGAAGCCTTCCCTGATCTCTGGCTCCCTTCTTAGTTAGGAGGGATCTCCCCTTCCTCCGAACTTCATATTCCTCTGTTTGTATCTTGTTTATGGCATTTAGCATATTAGCTTATTAGCATATTGTTCTTCCTGATAATATAGTAATTTGTGTGCCTATCTCCTACTGGCTGCAGTTTCTTTGAGGCAGAGACAAGAAACTGCATTTTATCTAAACCTGGTCTCTTCCCTGGCATCCTGCGCAGGGTTCTGCACTCGTTTATTGAATGGAGACTTTGTTCTAGAATTCATCTTTGCAATCTCCAGGGCATGCTGCAGAGGCATTGTAACTCTTGAACATACCACAGGGGTTTGATGTTTGTTGAATGAGAGAATCCTTCAAGGCCCAGCCTACGAGCCTCCTTCTCTGTAAAGCCTTTC